AGTGGCAGTGTCTCAACTACAAGGCACTTCAGAGGAAGTGGATTATCTGGCGCCATTTTCACTGGGATTCAGGTGAGACCACTGGAAAGAGCCTGTGTTGGTCTCAATAGTGGATGACCACCACCAGCCTTGGACAGCAGAGCAATCCCATTGCGTACTTTTAGATCTCTCAATAGTATGGAATGGGATTGATCATGAGGCCTTCTGGGGTGCCTGCAAACATTCCCAGTTGGGGACAGTGAGAGGGTCATGAAGGGGCAACCCCCAACCCAGTCTCAGAGTGGAGACCACACAATCTCCTTGAGCCAAGTTTATTGAACTGCACAGTTAACAGGCAGCAAGGCAAAAGCTCATATGGTGAACATATTTACATAAATGAAAGCAACACCCCTTAGTGACAAATTCCCCCTCTCTAGTAACCCCAATTCCCCCTTTTCATTATTAGCCTTGACTTTGTTTACTCAGCGATCCTGGAGCAGATTCAAGGGATCAACTTCCCTGTTCTAGCAACTGTTCCCTGAGTTGTCACTTCGGCATTTGGCAAGCTGTGTAAGCTATTTATGAGTTTATGCTGTTAGGCCTCTGATTGCTGCATTTTGGGACGGCTGGAGCCATTTTCTTAGGTGAAGCAATTTCTTTGTTAGTTTTTCTCCTTCAGCCAATGAGGGTGGGGAAGAGAGATCTCGCCTTTGATTGATCTAGTATGGGATGTGACAGGTTGTTCTGCTCTCTATTTATCATTTATATGAAGCCAAAGGGAGATGTCATCTGTCATTCTAGGCTGAGATATCAGCAGCTGATTGCCAGTAAGTCTGCCCAGAACCAGTGGCTTTGTCAGTTCCAGTTCTATCGCCACCCAGAGTCCCTTGGATTGAGAAATTGAATGAACGGATGAATGAATGAAATCTCTGGATTATGGGGTGACACTCCTCTTCAAACAATGGGTGCAAGAGCTGTGGGTTCCCCTAAGTCATGATTATTACTGCACACAGTGATTCATACCGTTATTGCATCCACATTAGATTACTGTACAGAACTGTGTGAAACCTAGTGGTTCTCCACTGATTCCCAGTAGGGGTCAGGATGCAATCTGAGGTGGTGAGTTTGTTTATTTATTTATTCTATCTGTATCAAATTTGTCACCGCCCATCTCATTGAAACGACTCTGGGTGGCTTACAAAGTGGTTAAAATCAATTAAACTACAATATACAATAATCTTAAATAAAGAGAGCATAAATAGATCCAAGGAGAGATGTTAAAATTGGCAGTCACCCAGGGAGCATCATCAAGGCACCAGCCACCCCCAGGGTTGGGTAAGATTGTCGTCACCCCACACAACATCTCTGGGGGAGCATGTTCCAAAGGGCGAGGGCAATGGCAGAGAGGGTTCTCCTCCTGGGCCCCGCCAGCCGACATTCTCTCACTGATGGGGTCCGCAACACGCCCTCTCTGCCTGACCGGGTGGGACAGGTTGATGGGATGGGGGTGAGATGATCCCTCAGGTAACCTGCACCCATGCCATGGAGGGCTTTAAAGGTGATGGCCAACACTTCAAATTGGACCCGGAAGCAGACCGGGACCCAATGCAGCTCACACAGTAAAGGTGTTACATGTGCCGTTTTTGGGGCACCCAAGATTGTCCATGCAGCCGCATTTGGAACTGGCTGTAGCTTCCGGATACTCCTTATGCAATAAAGCATAATGGTAGCCAACAGGCTTCAGCTGAATGCTGGTAAGACGGAGTGGCTGTGGGTTCAGGGAGCTTCAAGATCTTTGGTTCTTGATGGGGTCGCACTACCCCAGACAGACCTGGTGCATAATCTGGGGGTCCTCCTGGACTCACAACTTCTGTTCGAAGAGCAGGTGGCAGTTGTGGCTAGGAGGGCCTTTGCGCAACTTCATGTTGTGTGGCAGTTATGCCCCTTCCTCGATCAGGAGGCCCTCCGCAGTCACTCATGCCCTGGTCACCTCCCGGTTGGATTACTGTAACGCGCTCTACATGGGGCTACCCTTGAAGGGTATCCGGAAGCTACAGCTGGTGCAGAATGAGGTGGCGTGGACAGTTCTGAATGCCCCTAGGAGGGCACATATAACACCGCTGTTACGTGAGCTGCATTGGTTGCCAGTCTGCTTCCGGGTCCGATTCAAGGTTTAAAGCCTCTGAATGCCCCTAGGAGGGCACATATAACACCGCTGTTACGTGAGCTGCATTGGTTGCCAGTCTGCTTCCGGGTCCGATTCAAGGTTTAAAGCCCTTCATGGCACTGGACCAGGTTATCTGAGGAGCCGTCTCAACCCTGTTATATCAGCCCGTCCCACTCGGTCCAGCAGAAGGGGCATATTGCAGCCCACACCAGTCAAGGAATTTTGACTGGTGGGGTCTAGGCAGAGGGCCTTTTCTGCTATGGCCCCCACCCTAAGGAACGTTCTGCCTCCCGAGGCCCGGTGTGCCCCCACTCTCACGGCTTGTGGAGTGGTTGACCCCCCCTGTCATGTTAATGTTTGTAGTATTTATGTACAGGGTTTGTTGTCTATACTTGATCTTTAATGGATTAATTTATTTTAACTATTTATGGGGGATTTG